TTCTGGGCCACCTTCAGCTTTTTATAGATGAACACTGCAGCGATACTCAAAATGGTGTCTATAGTAGACGGTAAATAAATCTGCATTTATCTACAAATATCTCAAGGTGACGCTAAAATATTCGAAGAGTAGGTTATCTCAAGGACCTCTTTGAACCGTTTTACGCGACGCAAAAGAAATTCTATCCACTAAGAGCAGAATAATTTAAAGTGGTTCACCCTGTATACATTAAAATCTCTAATTAAACAGTTCTGCTAATATATAAAAAGAACTTGATTACACTTGAAATCTCCGAGACACTCTGAGAACTCCAAATATCTAAAGTATATCACTTAAGTCTTGGATAAAATTCCGAATAAACCGTTCGCATGGATTCCCGTATCAGCCTAACTACCGTCTTTTCCTTCCCCAAGATAAAATTGATCTTTTTCCACGAACGAGAGAAAGGAAAAAGAGATCAATTTTATCAGAGAAGAACGGTACTCGTCGTACTCGTTCAGAAAACGCGTGCTCGAAAGAGACAAACGGGTTTAGGAGGAAACTGTACAACACACTCGTTATTCACCGCTAGACCAGCCCAAGAAGAGGAAAGCACAGAGAAAACCAGTTAATACGTGTATATATAACATATGTACCCTGAAAAGAAGCCTCGTTTCTCCGTTAAATCCTGAAGGAAACCGCGAGAAACAGTGAAAACGATCATATCACACAACGGTCGATGCAAAATAGAAAAATAAAAAATAAAACGCACACTTTTCTATTTAACGCACGCACAACCTACACACACGTGTAGAGCAGGCAACGATACTCACGTGATTGTTGGCGTGCACACGCCAACCCTTCGAGCAAGCGATTAATACAGATTAAGCCAATGCATCGCTGTACATATCAATGAATGCCTCAAGCCCCGACACGTTGCTTCCGGTCGATACAAAACTCTCTCCAATTTAACCAATCCGTCTAACCCGTCCTTACTTTAATACAGCGCTCCAAGAGACATTAGTGCTCTTTTCTTCTTGCAAAAATATTTCTACGTATATATCCATCACCGAAAGGAAAAAAAGAGTCATGCACAGTAGATCTACATGTAAAATTCCGGAAGCAACGGAGTATCTCACAGAGTGAAAGAGATAGTTCTACGAAAAGAATGTGATTTAAAAAAGCCCCAAGTGTTGCGGGAAACTGAGAAACTGAAGAAACACAGGCAAGACAATCGCGGACTCACCTTGAGGATTTTGGGGTTGGTGATGGTGATGATCGTAATAATGTTGGTGATGGTGGTGGTGGTGGTGGTGATGATGATTGTGGTTGTGATTCTGGTTGTGGTTGGCAGGAAGCGGAGGTAACACTGCTACCGCGTGAGGGAACGGAGGTGCACCACCTCTCAAAACAGACCCTGCACCACACACAGGCCACATACGAAATGTTTCTTTACAAAATGTACAATGTCTCACCCCTGCTATTTTGTCTTTTATCTCAATCTGGTTCTTTTCTCTTTAGATGGGGGAAGTGACAAACGGAAGGCACGATGATAATTGCATAAATGTTTTATCAGGTGATTTTTCGTTGATCTACCTCGAAGGGATGAAAGAACGAACGAATTTCTGGTTCCCTTTTTTTGTTTTTTTTTTTGTTTTTGTATGAACGTGAAGGAAGATTCCTAGAGTGAGTACCGCGAGTGCAAAGATCGCAAAATAAATAATCAGGTCGAAGTGTCGTATATAAATATCTCTGTATGCGTGTATGCGTGAAGAATGCCCCTGCGTAAAGAAGCGAGTCTCTGTGGGAAAAAAAAAGCTTCAAGCGATAAATGTACTGAAAGCAATCGGAACTCCCGGGATAGAAGCGGCTATAAAGCACGTTTACCTACGTTATCGGCGCAACGCTTGGCTAAACGATAAATAAACAAAGTGTACACCGTAGAGGACGGTAAAAGAAGTGTACGTAAATATGTATATATTTATATGTATGTATATAAATATATAAATATGTATATTGCATATACGGCTGCATCGTAAGTTCTTTTTTTTTCTCTTAACTACCATAGACGAGAGAGAATGAAGATGAGTGGCCATGGGACATACGTTTTTTTTTTTCATTATAACGTTAAGCATTACTAATCGTGAGCTGAACTGTGAAACGAATGATTCGGGGGGCGTGTAAACGGACTACGACTGTGTGAAACGGCAAACTGTAATGAGAAAACATTTTGCGTTACTTGTCAATATCGAAAAAGAAGAGAAAACAAAAAATTTGATTAAAAAACAAAACAAGAGAGAAATAAAAAGTGTGAAACAAACGTGACAATTACACTCGAAGGATACTCGATATAGTCATCAAGAGACGTACAACAAATATCACACGTTTCCAAAAGAAAAAGAAAAGAAAAAAACACGTTATCATTCCTTCGTTTACTAACTACCAAAGATATATATGTATATATAAATATACGTCACACACTACTTGATAAAGAACAAAATAGAGATTCTTTCTGTACGATCATTTCTGCGAGTACGATAAATTAAAAAAGGAGAAAAAAAAAAAAGAAAAGTTGGAAAACAGAGACTCATTTAAACACCCAACCGTACCACGATACGAACTTTCACGCAGTTACTGTGTCAACCAACGACATACACGATATTACACACGTGTCGTCGACGACAACGACGACGTTTTATAATTGAAGAGAATAAAAAAAAAAAGAGAGAAAAAAAAATGAGATAAAAAGGTAACTTCATCTCGTTGGACCACTCCAGATTCTTTCTTTGGTTCTACCTTCTAGTCTACGGAGCGGGCAAAAAAAAATGGGAGGGCTGGGGGAAGAAGAAGAGAGGTAATGAGCACGAGCTTTTGTGGAGTTGTTTGGTTGTTTGGTCTCTTTTTGGTTCAAGTTTACGTACCTTGCATGGCGGAGTGCCGTCTTTGAGGTGGCGGTGGACTACCACCAGCTTCTACGCTGCTTCCACTGTGGCTGTCCAGCTGTGTACTGTGACCACTGTCACTGCTCGTCACCGAACCTACGCACACGTCCCCAAGACACTTCTATCACTACACATTCTAGCCCAGTTCTCGCCCTGATGCGTCGGCTAACTGCTAATTATCTAACAAAGATTAATCGCGTTTGTCAGACGCGTGTAATCCGTACCACTCTCTTTCTCTCTCTCTTTCTCTTACATACTCTTACATTCTTTTCTCTTTCTCACACATTCGCTCGCTATCTCTTTCTTTCTTTCTTTCTCTTTCACTTGAAAAATAAGGGTCAAGAAAACGCCAGTGACGCCTATGATTTGTCGACTTGGTCGCTATTTAAAAGAGGTCGCGCTCGCACAGCATTTGTTTTTTGATGCACGCCTACCCAGAGATCGTCCTTCTGTAAGCGACTATTTAGCTACTTCTAACAAAGAAGCGGTATAAAACTGAATTTCGTGTTGCTCTATCGACGAAAAGATAGCAAATGGAAAAAATATCGATCCGTGGAAAGTGAACACACTTCCATGGGTGATATTATGATTCCTACAATAATTAATCGTAGTTTCGTTTCACGAAGTGAAAAGGGATTGTTAAAGACAGCCTTGTAATAAGATTTGAAAACTACTAGTCTAGTTACAAATCGTTTAAAAATTAGCTAAAAAAAAAGAACGAACTATATATATATATGTGTGTATAGCATTGATAATTGTTGAAGGATGTGATTCACGCGTCCGTATGTCCCATGGTGAGTGATCTAAAAAAACTGAAGCTAGACGTGCTTCGCCCTGGGATCAGAACCGTGATGTGTATAACACGGGACGATAATATTGATCGAAAAGAAGCGCGAGCTACGGTAATCGGCGTACAAGATGCGTGTAAAATGGATAAGCTAAGTATAAACATGGAACATTTATGAATTGCGTAAACGGCTGTGCAGCGTGCATATAAAATGAGATAGTTTCTTAGATTTGCGAGACCTGACCAGTCTGTACGGTCACGAGCAATGAAACAAAGTGCACTTTTGATGGTACTTCGCGAGATGTGTCTGCTGTTTCGTGTGTGTGTGTCGCAGTAAGAAAACGTTCAAAAATAAAAACGAAAAGAAGCACCGTGGTGGCTCATCGTCTAAAGCTAGCAATATGTATATAAAGACACAGAGAGAAACTGACATTGTAAAGTATTCACGTGTATATGTACGTGTGTGTATGTGAGTATGGTGTTAACGTTGATTGACAGCATCTCGCTTCGAACCATTTTACGTGTCGAAATTGATCAACTTACCACTGGTCAACGTTTTTCTTAACGGCTGAAGATTACTCAGGCTGGTTACGCTACTACTTTCAGCGCTGAGATCGACAGGTGGTGGTAAACTGGAAGGAGTATCGCTATGGGATCTCTCATGCATAGGAACTCTGCTACCAGATCCTACTCTCCTAGGTGCACCGGGACTAGGTTCCAGTCCGCTGGAATGCAATGCCAATCCCGGCACTGGAAGCGGTGGTGGACAGTGTTTAGATTGGTGCGGACGAGTTTTATGGGGATCAGAGAGCGCCAATATTTTTCGTACAGCCTGTGGCGATGCTGCTCCGAACTTTGTACCTGAAAGTACAAGATAATTATTTTATTTGTCGTCTTATAAAAACGTGATATATTTAACTTGCGTACAATCCAGAATAAATGTCAAAAATCGTACCTTGTATACTCTTTCTACCTTCACTGGTGCTGCTAGCACTACTCGTAGTCGACAGAGTCGGAGAAGGATGCCTCCTTCCTCTACTCGCGCTAAGAGGTACCGCTGCAGCCATCGCGACAGCTCCTGATCACTTTCATGTTGGCAAGGTATGCTTTCACTCTTCGTACCATCTGTGCTTCCTCGAACATTTTCTTCGGATTCGGCGCAGCGGTAGACTTCTTTCGCCTCTTCACTGTTGCCGTTTGCCCTCCTGGACATTGCAACACTGTTATTAAAAGTGAATCGTCACATTTCTCGTTCTACTTCTATACACACGAATTATGTTACCTTGATTGCCGGTTGTCATTTGATTTAACGCGACCATGGCGGAACTAGGTGGCTGACCACCTCTTTCTAACATTATCGATAAATCGTAAGGCGAAGAACACATGTTCGTTAACGTTCTCACTTCTTTCGCGATCATTCTTAACTTTTCAAAGTTCACCAAACCTTCCACTCTCGAGTCGTTGCCAAGATGTATAAATGTCAAATCTTTCTTCACTACGGGATAAAATGGAATCTAAAAGAGAAGAAAATATTTCGTGTTATTTCACCGTATAACGAAGGAAGAAATACGAAAACGAACATACTGCGGTAAGGCGATAACGTACTATAGGAGGCTGTGTTTGTTCAGATGCTACCAGTTGTCGATATTTGCTCATGTTACGACTAGGGTCCATTAATTCTTGTAAATCGCTGAAGAGCCTCTGATATTTACTTGGCAGTTTTTCCCAAGAAGCTCTTAATCTCGATACAGCTCCGTGACCCAAACCAGATACAATTGCAAACATTGAATTGAAATTTTTGCACTCCTTACATTGTCCTATTTACAACAAGAAAATATTAAAGGTGGAAACATGGAAGAAATCTCAATATCTATGGATTAAAAGAACTCACGAGCTATTTTTATAAATTGTTTTATTATTTTACTACGTCGAACGAGGTTATGTTCAGAACAAACTTCTGTCACAACCCAAAACATTTCTCTGTTGACTAGTTCCGCGAACTGCCTTAACATAGGCACTCCATATCTACTCTTTAAGTCGAATAAATCATCCACGTATTCCGTAGATTCAATTTGCCTAATAATAAAATTGAAATAAATATTTTCTTTCTATTTTAATATATATTTTCCAAATGTTATCAACTCACCTGAATATACTGAAATCTTGAAGAGTCAGCTGAATTGCAACTTCAACCGCGTTTAATTGTAAGAAGTGAACCTGAGATTCGCGAATGAGCTCTGGCGCTTGATCGTCTGCAACGAGCGTCTCCGAGATACCGTTCGTTTTTAAATAATATCGAGAACTCAAGCCAATTCGTTCCGCGAGATTTTGCAATTGATCGGGTAACCTGCGTTGTTTAATCATACCCCCTTCTCCAACGCTAACTTCAGCTAAAGAGAAGTTTGAACTGCTCTCGGTTATGCCAAACTCTTGAAGAGCAAGCATTACCACCTGAAAGGATATATTAGCATACAAATGTAATCCTTCAGTTATGCACATAGTTTCCCAAAATTGAAGATATATATACCTCGTGTGCCGTTGTTTCTTTGTGAATAAGAAGATATTTACAAGTTTGATCAGCTTTGTAAACTTTCAAAACGTGTTCCGGATAGTCAGGCGCCCTTAAGTCTTCGTAACAGTACAACGACGTAAGATCAGGATTACTTTTAGAATGATAAAGATTAGTAGTGGTCTGTGAAAGTCCTCCTGTTCCCGGTGGTGTATGAGGAGGTGCGAGTGGATCATCTACATGTACACCATCACTGGAAAATATATTTCTTTTAGAATATTCTCATTTTCAGGTATGAAGAAGGCAATGCACACGTGTATTTGGAACTTACTTAATAGTATTCTTTGGCAGTATATTCATTTTCATGAGAGCTTTTTGAAATCTCCTTTTCGGTCCAAGCGTCATGAATCCTTTGTGCTCCTTTTTAGCATCTTTACACGGAGAAACATTGGAATCGGGAATTAAAAGTGGAACACCGTCTACCAAAGGATTCAATGGGTTTACTGGAGTTATCGGGTCCACATGTGTGGACAACCTTGCACGTGGATCTGTTTGTAATCTTGAAATCTCGGGTTTGTTTGCTCTTCCCCGCGGCCTCGGCGAATCGTCTGGCATCTGAAGCATTTCTTTAAACGCTACAACAGTAATTCATTGCTCGCATAAAAGAAGCATAATGTGCAATTTATTGTTCCTACGAGATAGCACATACCAAGTAAATTCGATTTAACAGTTATACTGAGATGGGTAGATCCTCTTAAAATTTCAAGAGCCCTGGCATGATTCACATGCTCGAAACTCTGTCCGTTCACTTCTAAAATCTGATCACCCCGTTTCAATCCAACATCTTCAGCCTTTGACTTTTTATCAACTTTCGAAATAAAAATGCCGAAACCTCTTTCGTATCCCCCTAAAATACTAAAATGCAGAACCTCGTCTCTAGTGGGCCTCGCCAATGTTACATTCCGCGTTCTCGCTTTTGCCGCACACGCAATATTTAATAGTCTGCAATTTAATCAAGTGCTTAAATCATATATCTCAGGAGTTGTACAAATTTAAACAGTATAGATTTCAGTTGACATGTACCTTTGTTGCCCTTGCATTTTCTCTCTTTCCAACCCAGTTTCGAATGCTTCTAAAAATTCCATCATCGCTGGATCCGTTTCAAAATCCGTAAAATGATTATTTACCCAAAGAAGCACTACACGAGCAACTCTGTCTCTGACTTGTGCTTGATCAAACCATTCTAACAATTGATTCGCAACTAATAAAGGACTATCAATAAAAGTTCGATGGGTTAATAAGAAATCTTCTATATATGTGGGATCGGTAATACTGTTTTCTTCGATTAGTTGTAACATTAAACGTTCGGGAGTTCCGCGAATAACTACGTGACCTCTGCGTGCTCCACCGTCTAAAGCACCCCTTAATTCCGTTACTAGAATTACTCTTCCATTTTCTTCGTGCCGCCTTGTATTTTCTTCCCCTTGATGTTGAATTCTAAAGTAATCTGCTTGCGTGACACATACGAATTGGCAGTCATCGCATCTATACAGAAAATAAATTTTTTTAATACGATATCGTTCGTATTTAATAAGTTTAAAAAAATGTGAGTGTCAAACATAGAACTCACTTTGTCCTCATGACACCTCTATGTAAAAGTCTTTCCATAGTGGGCAAGATTCCAAAACTGTCACCAAGGTGCAGTTGTTCAATGTCTCCATTGCTATGCTCAATTTCCACAGCACCATTGATAAGCACACTCCAACTATCCAATTCTTCTCCATCATTTAAAACTATCATACCAGCACGTTCAACCACAGCAAACACCATTACAGCGCACAGCGCTCTCCTTACTGCCAAAGTCATATTTGTAAAGGCCTTTAATTGTTGTGTAAATTCTAAAAGTGTTTCTATATCATCTTCTGTTCTTTCCAGGGGATCTTTCTCTAAACATTCTCTGACTGGATCACGGACAGTCAAGCTCTGTAAACAGAAAGTAACTCTTACTAATTTACTCATTTTCAATTTAAAACTTTTTTTACAGGTGTACAAGAAAATATACTTACATCCATACTCTCTGCAAGATCTTCCTCTTCATCGCTATCTACTATGGATTCAACAAGCCCTGAAAGATCAACATCATCTGCATCTGCATCCAATGAACCTTGTACAGATGTCATGGTGTCTGAACCACTGTATGCTGAACTTGTGTCACTCGAGTGGCTGCTTCTATTGGACTTTTGGTACAGCTCTGGCCTGCCTGTCAGGCCTTGAGAAAACTACACAACAAAAAAAAGAAAATTTTTCAATTAATTTACATGCTTCCTTACAAATAATACTTTGTTACACAAGTTTTATCCGAGAATACTATCAAAATTCGTTTGATAAATATTTATACAACGGATATGTGCAACTGCATTAGTTTACTATCGAACATGACATACATCGTAATATTTTCGCATTAATTAAAGATGGTCAACATTCGCTTTGTTACAGCTACACGTTCAAGTCTGCAAACTAAAGTGTTTACATTAATGTTCATGCCAGACGACCGTGGTACAAAGCAACGTATTATTCTTCGTCGCGATATATCGGTGCAATCACGATTGTAAACAATAGCACGTTGCAGTCGAACATATCAATGCACTATTCGGTCCCTTAATGAGAGAGAGAGAGAAAAATGCCTACGAGAATAACATGCAACGATGTATCATTATCCATGGATCGACATCAATCTGTCAATCGGCAGGAAGAGGCTGCAAAGAACGGGATCAAGAAACATATAGGACAAAAACATGGGTTCTACGAGCAGTGATCGTTTACGGAATAGTACCAGGAATGGGCGTGATGGGGACAGGCTCCGTTCGTAAGTTAGGTTAGGTTGCCAGACATGACATCACGCACGCAACATCGAGCGACCAGAGAGGAACACGCACAGCGAGAAAGAGACAGAAGTAGTGGCACACGTATGTATGTCTAAACAAAAACACCGTGACATCTGTCATCTCGCGTTAATCAACGATCGAATTGTTAATGTACGTGCACGGTAACGAAACGTTCCGCGGAACATCGCGAAACGAGGAAACTATCGTTGTAAACCAAGGCCATTTTGAGCCGCGGGAGATCGTTCAGACTCACTTGGTACATGCCGAAGGCGTCCATCCTATCTCTTGCTAATCTCTTCCGCGTTTCAAAACACGAGAAACAACGCACAGAAACAACCAGTGTCCGGCCACATTCTCCTCTCGTTCTTTCCCCACGGATACGATTGAACACTTCACGTAGCTTACAACTACCGTTCGCGAGCGCATATGCGGCTCCCTATATACACACAAACGCGACGTGACCTTCTTTGTGTGCGTTTACGAAGAGAGCTCGTGGCGCGTCTGATGTGCCCCGTGTGTCGTGGGCCGTCAGCTTAGCCGAGTAGCGGACATGGGACTGCCTCTCGTCCCTCCCCCACCCTCCGTCCAGCCACCGGCATTCCCTTCGAAAACGTAGGGTCACGTGACCCGACCGAGCGGCAAGCTTCAGGTCCGTCACAACAGGGGGGCGCACGTTGGGGGGCCCACCTGTAGCTTCTGACCGTGCCACTAACAAAACACACTCCTCCCGATGACGCGCCGAAAATGTCCGTCGAAATTTTCCCTTCACCCTACTTGCACCTCGTTAATAGTCAATTATCGACCACATACTGCTTTTATATACGTACGCCTCGTTCCGTGTTTTGTTCTATGCTTTCAAATTACCAACATATTGCGAATATTTCTACGAACAGTGGATACACAGTCTACGAACTGCTGTTAGTTGCGAAAAAGTAAATACGAAAAGAACACGTCCCTGGAAGGTAACACACTGCAATTCGATAAAACTTCGCGGATAAAACAGTTTCCCATGAATAATTAATCGTGCATCAACAAGGACGACCGGTTGTCAATCACACTGCACGAAGAAATAATTCATCAATACCATCGCGATGTTTCTATTGCGTAAAATATCATCGAGTGTATCTGAAAGCCATCGAGAGCGTGTGCACACACTCCTCTCTCGCGCGGTCGAGTGGGAACACACGGGAGAGGCTTAAAGGACGATCGTGTGAAACGAGCTTAAGGAGTCGACGGTCGGTCAATCGTCAGTCGGTAAGCGATTGAGAGAGAAGGAGGATGTACGGAGAAGAGAGTACCGGTCTGTTCAAAGCATCCAACACAGCGGATAGTAACTGCTCAAAGGCCACTGGCCGACCCGACGGATGATTTATACGACCCGTTATGTCGTGCCCATGTCTCACTTTTCCTTTTGTCCTGCTCCACAGACTTTCCAAATTGCTTCTCCCATTCAGTTTCTTCCTACTCTCGACCGGCAGACACTGGGCATACCAGTGCATGCCACCGATGTGCATTCCACAGACTCTTTAGGGGAGAGACACTTTAATGTAGATCATCTTACTTGCACGCGATGCGCCTTAACGAACTTTCAATCCGGGAGTGCAGCGTGTTGGAAAACGTTTTAAGGGAAAAATTCAAACTTCCTTCAAATATTTATTATAGACGAATTTTCGACGAATTACAGACGAAGTTACAATTCTATTCTCAATTGTAGATGGCAGTGGTACTGCACCTTGAAATTTCGTCTTTAAATCGATAACTGTGATTAACATTCTTTTTTCTTTTTTTTTTTTTAAATGAAGCAAAGAAAAATTCGAATATCCTCGAAAAATATTTAGTCTACATAAATTTTCAAGTACGACTAATTTGTCAGTTACAATTCTATTCTCAATTGCGGAATTACACCTTGAAATTTGGTCTTTAAATCGATAACAGTGATTGCGATTCTTCTTTATTTTTTAAACAACGAGAAAGAATTGAATTCTGCGCGAGTAAAAGACTGTCAGAAGCATCCAAGTTAAAACGCGTGTATTTAAAAAAACGAGTGAATCGATATAACACAGGAAAAAAAAAACACTTTTCTCCGAGTACAACGCGCTCGTAAATCGCATCCCGCGTTGCGTTCCACTTTCCAACCGTAGGAAAACCTCTTCTCGCTTTACGACGATCGCTATTTACTCTTCGCAGCTTGGAAAATTTTCCGCACCTATATAACGTCTCGATGGGAAATAAGAAAATTCACCGACACTGATAAAACTTCTCTTCACGGGTTCGGTGTGCATTTGAAATGCATGGAAAGCGTGCAACGAGGAACCGAAAAAAAGAAGAAGAAGAAGAAGAGTTCGCCACTGGTCGGGCGCTTTCAACGCTGATTCTACGCGTCCTCTTCGTTCATCTCGCTCTCTTTTTCGATTAGCGTAAACACGTGGGCGTCCCGTATCCACACGTCACGGATCGACGACATCAAAACTTTCCTCCGACTACCTGTGCACCGCGCCGATGACGTAAGACAAATGATCGCGAACCGTTGCAATGGAAAATGATCAGCAAAAGTGCACGTGGTTGTACATAACGATAGATAACGGCCATGCGTCTCTGTCGGATTGCATCTGATACGAATGCACCGTGCTATCGATTGCGCTAGATTGAAACAAGGTGTAACCAAGTCTATCCTTGCAACTCCAGAGATGCTTTAAATAGCTCTGCGGCTTTATGTGAGATTAATTGCACGGTGAATTTGAAAGGATGAGACGGTTTTCGACGAGAGTACCCCATTAAAGACGGGATACTCTTGAAAGAGGCTTGGGTAATGTTGTACTTGTTTTTGTGCGAGCAAATTCAATTACCGCAGAATTGAATACCTTAAAGATTTTCCATTGGATACGATTGTTTCCTTAAAAATTAATGTCACTTTGTACTAATATTAGACAGTGTAATATGAACGTCGGATGTTTCTGGGAGGATTGGAAATATTTTTTAAACTGAAACAAAGACTGTTCCATTGGACGTGATTATCCCTTCAAAAATGAATAAGATTCCCCACTAATATTAGATCGCGTGATACAAAAGGTAAAATTTTTCCGAGCGAATTCAAAATATTTTTCAAATTGAAGCAAACATTTTATTCATTTGTCAATGGGATTCCACCAAAAAGAATTCCTCGCTAGAAGAATTTTTCAACACTCAACTAATCACTTAATGGACCAATTAGCGAATAATTAAAAAGTTCCACCACCTATTCGAAAAATACCTCCGACATTTTCCATTCAATTTGCAACAGTATCTCCCAAACACACTTAGTCTGAGGCGCAACCGAAACTGGTCACAGGCCGCTGCTTCGAAATAACTAATGGACACATCCTCCTATACCGAATCTCGCCTACTACATCCCAACAGATATATTTCTGACGACATCATCGGTGCAGAAGAATTCAGGTCGAAAAAGGAGCGCTACTGTGAGAAATGCATTCCTAAAGTACGGCCCGAGGGTACAACGCTTACAATTTCTACCTGAAGTGAAAAGAGAGAAGAGTTGGAAAACAGATGTTTACCGTGTCATCGAAGACCAGGTTGACCTGTCGATGGTCGGTTATGGGATGAGGGTGCGGTGGTCGATGCATCCTTCCTCCGTGCACTTCCGGGTAGTCGATCTGCAAAATTGCAAAAGAGAAAAGAAAAGTAAGAACAACTGACAAAACTGAATTTTTCATTTGAATAAAAATACGTGATTTTCGTTCCACGTACAAATCACGTGCAAACCGTATTTTGATCGATAATCCACGCGACGCAACCTGCGCGCTCGTATTTTCTGGTTCACAATCACCCTTCACCTTTCGCTAAGCACCGGGAACACCGCCCTTTTCGAAGCTCCAAAATACAGAAATTGTTCGGCGTGCACGCTACCTCGGTTAACGTAACTTCCGCGAATTTATTCAGAAAAGATTTTTCTAGCTCGAGGGAGATCGCTAAAAATGCTCGTTCTCACGTTCGTCGAAGATCTCTGGTTACTTAATCGGTTTATTTTAAACCGGTTGCAGAAATACTTTGGAATATTTGACTATTTCGTGGAAAGATCTCTCTTTTCGTTTCAATTCTGGCGATACTACTTTGTTGAAAGACAGAGAGCTGTTGAAATATGGTGGAAATATCGTCGTTCTAATGTTAAATCATCAAAATTGCAGTTTTAGCGAATTTCTACAATTTTATTTATTTTTCTGCAACAGAAAATGCTGAAAAAATTTCGTAAGTATAAAAAGCGCAAAACTGTGATTACTATTTTTTAATCACCGTATGTACAATGCTAAAAATATCGTCGCGTTAATAGTAAATTATCAAAACTGCAATTTTTGCAAATCTGAACTAACTGCACAATTACTCAATAAAATTTCTTCAGTCTATACTATTGTACTGCACGATTAGCGAATAAAAATCAGAGCAAACACAATTCTCCATTAATTAACAAACCAATATCCTCCTCTCAAAATACTACTAACCCATCCATCCCATCCACCCGAAAAAAACACGTCTCCACAACTGTCCATTACTACATATCAACCCGCCCAAAAGAACAAACAACCTGGTAAACAAGTATCCGAAGAACGCATCAATCTCGAATCTAATAACATTCCATCCACAGCCTACGAGCACACAAACATCCATCAAAACAACGTTCCGTTGGAAAGCTGATCGCTCAAACTCGAGTACACAAATCGTCGTGCAGCTTGTCGACAGGGACGAAAGCATGTTTCGAATTTCTCCAGTGACATACAGCTCCTCCACCTCCTCCTCTGCAAAAGCCAGCCATCGTGTCTCGTCCCTCTGGAACGACACTCTGCCGTGATAATCTAATCCGGTTCCACCTGCGACTTCTTCTGCAGCTGCGTCAACTTCTCGCCCCTCGCGCCACACGTTACACTCTCTCTGTCTCTCTCCTTTTTTCGGTCAACAGAGCTCGTTGTTCTACGATGTGCACGGAGGGGAAAAGAAGAAGAGACGACAGAGGAACGACGAAAAAACTGAGAGAGAAAGAGAGAGAGAGAAGAACGCAGAGAGACAACGAGATGAGCGTGCCCGAGGGCCGGAACCCGTAGGCCGGACTTCCGGTAGATACGCCGATTATACTCGCCATTCACAGAACCGCTCCCTCGCGACTCGATTGTCAGAGGCGAGCACCAGTAGCAGCATTTAGCCAATTTCGGGATGAAAGTTGAATTTCCACCGGTCGACGTGATACGTTGATTCGATTGGCAACAGCCGATGCGAAACGTGGCGAAAAATATTGTTCGGCGCGCCGGAAATGAACGGAACACCTTCCTCTCGACAGACAGGTGTTTTCTTTTTCTTTTTTTCGTTCGTGAAACTCGAGTTCGCGTAACGCGTGACACGCGTTGTTTCCGGGAATTTTGTAACTCTTAATTGGCTCCCGCTTGCGCGTGATAATCAACAGGGAAAATTACAGGTGTTGCAGAGGAATACGTCTGAAGGTAACTTTTTTCCTGAGAGAATCAGTGTAGTTCGTAGAAATATTTGTTTATATGAAACTTTGTTTAACCTTTTAGATACGGTACGCCACTATAGTGGCTTCCGCGGATAGCACCAATTTGGGCGGTACGACACTATGGTGATTCGTTCGTGAAACTCGAGTTCGCGTAACGCGTGACACGCGTTGTTTCCGGGAATTTTGTAACTTTTAATTGGCTCCCGCTTGCGCGTGATAATCAACAGGGAATATTACAGGTGTTGCAGAGGAATACGTCTGAAGGTAACTTTTTTCCTGAGAGAATCAGTGTAGTTTGTAAAAATATTTGTATATATGAAACTTTGTTTAACCTTTTAGATACGGTACGCCACTATAATGGCTTTCGTGGATAGCACCAATTTGGGCGGTACGACACTATGGTGACTTTCGTGGATATCATGATTTTCGACGGTATTATACGTTTTTTTGCTTTATTTCGCATTTGTTTCGCCTAAACCACATTTCCTGGCAATATCGAAGCTGTCGTTGAAGAGTACACGTGTCGGAGGATCGTCATGAACGGTTTTTGTGCCATCCGCGCCGTCCCAGGGGTACCCACTTGCGGACGAGCGCGCCATACCTAAAAGGTTAATACTAAACGTGCCGACACTTTATTTGTACCCTATTCTTAAGCGGATAGGAGGTAATCATATTCTCTCGAAAGGAATACAGGTGATTGTCAATTGAATACAGGAAACAACGCAGGAATCAGTCGTTAAATAATAATAATAAAAAAAATGACACATTTTTATTTTTAACATGAACGGGAAAAACAGATGCACTTGTTAAAGGAGAAAATTGACATTATTGATTATGCCACAAGACTGCCTTCGTATATGATTAATATTTTTCTAATTGCAATTTTGTATTACAAAAACTGCAATGTATAATATGAATTCACTTAAATACAGCAAAGTGAACATTTTTCGTGATAAAAGGACGTGGAATATCGTCGAAAAGAGAATACAAAATCAGCGTCGTCCAATTTGTGTTAAAACCCGTTTCGCCTCGAAACACCGTCTAAACTTCATCCCGCTTAGGAATCTCCGCGAGATAATGGAGCAAGTATGTTAATTATCGATTACTCGAGCCAACCTGTACACTCTCTAACCACTGTTCTCCTCAACATCTACTTCATTCACGTCCTAAACCACAATTCACCGCTGCTATCAAAGACGCTGCAGGCGAAAGTATTGCGTGGCTGTCGAGATTATTCCAACCATCGACCGCAAAGTATTAAAAAAAAAAAAGAAGAACTACTCCATTCTCCGTTACACCTACAATTATTAACTCGTCAGTATCATCGTTTCACCTTACACAATGAACATTCGCTAATTTCCACGAACATTTGCGAACCTGGTTATTCCGTCGATCGTAATCGTCGCGTGCATCTTCCACGTCGATAGTTCTTTTATTCAGTTTTTCTTCACACTTCCGGTACGAATATTCAATGTTTAGCAGAACACGTGCCAAGATACGCGAATTGTGACACTCGACGGGGAAATAAAGCTTCTGTTATGCGAATGAAGATATTCCATTATCTACCGTCACTTCCTTTCAATTACATACACCGACGGATTTTTCCACTTGAATTTAAAGGTCCGTTTAAATGTACAGAAGCAAGTGAACGTGTGCAGGTGACGATAGTGATTATTTGTTTATGTAAATTATGTAAATTGAAATTTGAGGAACACAGAGAATTAGGAGAATTGACGTAGAAAAATTGGAGGTGTCGTCCGATAAGTAGAAGTAACAAAGGAAAATTGGGGAATGTAATACAGCGCAGGAAATTAGGAAAATTGATGTAAAACAGTTGGAGGTTTCAAAGGAACATTGGGGAATGTTATAACACAGCGCAGGAAATTAGGAAAATTGGTGTAAAAAAGTTGGAGGTTTCAAAGGAACATTGGGGAATATTATAATACAGTAGGACACAAAAACGCGGGAAATTCAAATTAAGTTCATTTTTTGGGTGCTAATAGAGTTTCTTCGTCGCTTAAATTTTCTCCAGCTTCAGAATTTCTCTGTTTCTTCTTTATTTTAATCGCGTTACACGTAGACAGTAGCAATTTTATTATTACTATATTATTACGAACAAACCAAAAGTGTTACATTAAAAAACTTTTACGAAAACTGTCTCAAAAAAAAAAAAAACTCTTAGCGATACGAAAAGTTCGCGAGCAACGAGGATCGAACGAAGTTCATCGTGCAATAAAATCTCTTACAACGAACCGTAAAAATGATTGACAATGCGCGAGGACGCGTGGGTGAAACAGCAAGCGTGCATCTTCCTCTTTTCTCATCTGCCGATGTTCTCGAGGCTTTGTAAATCGGATTTCTCAATGCGCGCCGCTCGAACGCGTAAACAAACGCGCAAAAGGGAAACGAAGTGGATCACGCGCCACGCTCTGTTTGCCGAGAGGCGAATTATAAAATCGCGCGCGGACAGTCGCGAACCGCGTGACGCAATCTTCGACGTGGAAAATGTTCACGCACGTTCTCCCTTCCTCTTTTTTTTTTTTTTTTGTTACTTTTTACGTAATGAGTCGAATTATAAACAAGAGCGTTTGTAATTCTTCGTTGGAAATTGCAGACCTTCGACGATTCCACGGACGATCGAGAAGTTTGGCAATCGATGCCCGTGACACTGTGAGACACTTCGACGTTAGGTCAATGCTTTTTCGAGATCGACGATGTAACCGTTTCGTAACTGATTTGTGCGTGAAAGTGACTGATAAACACCTTTCGTTTGTTTTTCATTCCTCTCTTGTGAAATTGCAGCGTTCTCGGTTAAAGGGTTGATATTTGCGTCCCAGTTTTGCGTGAATTTCGCAAATGAAGTTTTAGTCGAAGCTTTATAATTTTCAAATCTTCAAATTTTTTAATTTTCTAATATTAACCCTTTGCGATCGGCACATTTCTCTGGTTGGACTATCAGCTAGTCGAAGCAAATTTAAATTTTCAAAGTTATTTTTGCATAGTTTATTTATTATATATATAAGGATATTGAAAAACAGAATATTTTGAAACTGATACATTTTGTTTAATACATACTAGTTATAGTGCATAAAAATAAAACGTTTTAATTTTTGTAATTTTCCAAAGTATGATACTTGACAAAACAAAGATCAT